CAGTTTAAATTTACCAAGGTTATCGATATATTTCTTTAATTAAAGAAAATGCTTCATATAAAACTCTCTGAAACATCAGATGTCATTGGATGTTATTGATTTTAGTGAAGGAAATAGCTTTAGAGAACAATTTTGTGAAGTTTCGTTATGTATTACTTAGTAATATTTGTGGTTTGTCATATGGTCGATCATAATTTAATTAAATTCTATTATAAACACATATAAATAATTGTGTAATGATGATTACTAAATTTAGACTTTCCCTATGCTTCTTAGCCAAAAATAAGTTAACTTCATAATAAATTTTCGGGTAAAAACACATTTAGTCGGCAAATGACTTTTTAGAAGAGTTTAAGCAGCTTACCTTACATCCCTCAAACCATCGCTGATACTTGGGAAGGCAAAAAGAGCGAACGAGCAAAGGAGTTGCTTAATACTTATAAAAGGCAAGTTTTATTTTTAGCTAAAAACATACAAAGAAATTTGGTAGTGTGGCAGAGGGACTTTGGGTCTTTGTGTCATTCAAGTCTTTGGGACAAGCTACAAAGCTAATGTTGGGACGCAGAAAATCTTTGGGATTAGCTGACGTTCAAGACTTTGGGTCAACCTGACATTGGCCTCACTGAGGCGCAGAAAATCTTTGGGATTAGCTGACGTTCAAGACTTTGGGTCAACCTTGTGGGATGCAAGATCAGAGATATGTTAAGAATATTATTAATGATTTTTCTTTTCTAGGATTGCCAGCTGGGGTCAGATTATAATTGACGGGAGATTGGGAGAAAAATCATAGTAAATTAGTCAAAGTCAGTTTTTACTTCAACAATTCTACAATTACGAATGAGAGTTATATCAACTGATGGAACAGTATATGCCAGAGTTTTACCTAGAAAGTCGCCTCAAAAAATATTCAGTGAATAAAAACCGTATATTTCAATTATTTTGAAACAATTACTGATCTTTTTTATAATTTTTAATTCAGCCGAAAAGAAAATCCATCTGATTCACAAATAATAACATTGATAATTATGAAATTGAAGACGATGAATGTGAACACGAAATTAATGACATTACTGAATTTGATCTCGCTTATCAGAATATGGATCTGACAAAAATATGGACTCTCAAATCTTCCGGTCGTATTGTTGAGATGAATATACACGAATATTAAAGCATGTATACTCCTTTATCATCAATGATGCTGATATGAAAGCAAAATCAATATTCCGAAAAGAAGAATGGGAAGAAATATTTTCTTCTAACCTTAAATTGTGCTAAAATCGAGAGTTACATAATAATGAAGAATATTTGTCATTTTAAAAAAATTAAAAAAATCATATTCAGAATGTGTATTCCTCAAAATTTATATTAGCAAAAAAACCGATTTGCTCCAAAATTTTCGGCTATTTTTAAAATTTACCAGTTTTTTCCGATTTTTACAGTTGTATTTTTAACCTGAGTGTTAATATTGAGAATTAAATATATCAGTATCTTTTAAAGTATTAATAAATCATTGCTTTAAAGTGTCGCTTTCTAATTTGTTACTTTAAAAAATTTGATAAAAACATAAAACAAAAATTGCGATAATTCAAAAAAATTAATTCTACATTATATACTGAATGCCTAACCAATCGACACTTTGAAAATGCCAAATTGGTCTAAATAATTATTACATTTAAAAAATTAAAGATTATGACAATATAATTGATATATTTATTAAAAAATATTTACAAAAAATTTCTTTAAAAAATAATACATTGATTAAAGTATTCCAAAAATTCGTTGTATTTTTTTTACTTTTTTTTTTTTTCAAAAAAAAAAAAAATTTTAGTTGCATTTAATATGTGAAAAATTTCGATCAATAAACTATTCCATAATAACAGGTATTCAAAAATTGATTAATACAGATTTGAAAAATATGATTAGCTAAAATTTATATCAGATTTTACATCAAATGTATTAGCAAAATAGCAGATGTAGTTAGGGATAAGGAAAGTCCCTTATAGACAGAAACAGAATTAAATCATTATCTTGAATTATCAATTGATGAAGAAACTGAACCGCTCTTATCCCTTAAACTGTAGAGGTTCACAGGCAAATTTGCCTGCTTATTTACTATAAATTCCCTTCTGATTTACTTTTA